ATCTTGATTCTACACGGCGTAGTTTTGTTATATGTAGTTACTTCCTACAGTCGACGCTCTCGTAAATTATTGAACAACTTACATATTAGACTTGCTATCTACATAGTCTTTCATGGTACAGAAGAAAGATAGACAGTTGCAAGAACATCATGGAGCTGAGAAAATCATAAGTCTATAATCTTTATAGCCACTAGTACATCACAATAATTGCACCAGTACGCAAAAAATCACGAAGACGTAAGCGTATCTAACTGGAATTCCGGTCAGAAAGAATGGCACGGATTTGCGTTATGAAATCATTTACGGTTTGCATCAAATCGTCTTGTTCCCGTTCTTCTCCTTCGCCATCGTCGCTGTCATATCTGAAGTAAAATCTTATCCAGCCCCTTTTGGTTGATGCTTATATTTTCTATTCATAACTATATTACGCTTTCCAGAAAATAGCTTCCGATAGCTCGAAATGCACCACATCTGTCTGTTGAAACATATCATACAAAAAAATAACTCGCTTTCTTTGCCTTATCTCAATGCAGATTTACTGGAAGATATTTGTAACATTTCGAGTATCAGATGATATTCGTAACATTCCGAGTATCGGATGGTGTTTGTAACATTCCGAGTATCGGATTTGCCTTTTTCAACACTATGGGTTTGTTACAACCAACCTGCGGAATATGAAATCGGATAGATAAGGCTTTCTTCTTGCATGAGGTGCTTCACCGGGATCAATGGAACCGTCCGGAAGCTGATGCTTGTAAAAACATTTGTTTCCAAAAGGACAACCTTCACCAGAAGCTCCTTCCTGAAATAAAATGGGGGTCATATATTGAGATATCAAGGAGGACTATATACAAGAAGATTTAGAGAGCCACAGAAATTTCTCAGAAAGCCCAATAAGGAATAAATCCCGTAATTACAGGCCTATCCCTACAAAACTACTCAGCTCTCTCGCTAACAAAAATCGCCATGCTTTGAGCTGCCACGACACCGCCTCTATACAAATGGATCCTATGACCATTTAGCATGGCTGACAATGCTGTTGGCAACCTACTACATCTGTGGTTGCCAAGTTGTAACCTATGGCGCTAGTAACATCGATGCAAAATTTATGACTCTGTAGAACGAAGGTAATAACATGCTCCGAATCAGAAAACCTTCACAAA